GAGCAAAGTTGAGGAGTGATTTAACCAATGCATTTGCCTATTGTTTTGTTGTGTAGTTGTTGAACCATCTCTGTCTGCAGAAAATAAAAATTGTTAAGAACAGGATGTATTCCCTCACATGTGCATTTCACACATTTTTCCTGTTCCTAGTAGTACCTACAACACAGAAACTCTCACATCTAGTTTCAGTGATTAAAGTCACATTTTCAGCAATCTATGTTTTGTATGGCATTGCAGTGAGGCCATGTCTGCAGCATCCTAGAGGAATTCCCTAACTTGTCCATTCTGTAATTGTTGATAGAGATGAGGTGGCTGCACAAACCAGAAGGGTGAGCTGCTTGTTGAGCCTGAGAGCTGGAGATGCTCAGATGGCCCCACTGCCTGGGCCAGGCCATGGATCATGGTTCAGCTCTCCAGTCCATCTGTACTAGTTACTAAGTGAATAAAGCTACCGTTACGTTGAGAATAATACCTATCTCTCATTATTGCTAATCACTACATTTATTCCTGGTAATACAATGTAGCATATGAAAATACTCAAACATTCTATGTGTATATTGTTTCATGTAAAATGATTAATTTATCTTTCTTTAAGTTGATGTTATCTCTGAAAAAATTGGGCTTTCTCTGCACAGAATATTTATTTATTGATTTATTTTTATATTTTGTGAAGTACATACTATAAAATGCACAAATTCTAGAGTGGAGTTAAATGAATTCAGACATGCGATATACATTCAGGTTGCCATACCCCAGATCAAGATGTGAAGTGATAGCAGAATCTTTTTACCTTCACTTAGCTCACCAGTCCCCTCATGACCCTCACCTGTGGCAACCACCAATGTCTTCTCTGTCCAGTGATGGATTGGAATCCATAATCAAGATGAAACTGCAGACCTCTCTGGTTGACTTTGAGAAAAGCATTGGTGACTCCCCTTCAGAATCCCTCTGTGAACATCTCTGCACTGACTTGTTTGACAGTGGAGATGGGTATATATCTGAAGGAAACAAAGTTACTGTGACAGAGAGGTATCTGCCCTCCATGCTCATTGCAGCCCTATTTACAACAGCAAGACATCGTAACAAGAGAACTTTCCATCAACATATTTATGTTCTAAGAAATTGTAATATATAGCACATGCAATGGAATATGATACTGCTATAAAGAAGGAAATATTGTCATTTGTGACATCATGGATAAACATAGAGGATATTCGGCTCTGTGAAATAAGTCACACAGAAAAAAACAGTATATTCGTTCACTTGCATGTGAAATATAAACAAAAATCAAATGATTCATAGCAACTAGGCATACATTGTGTATGCTAGGGCTGGAAATGGGAGTGTGAGGCTAGAGGAAGGGGTTCAAAGTACCGAATTCCAGGTATAAATTCACTAAATCCTGGAGATCTAATATACAGTGCATGACTACAGTTAATACTTATGCATTGTATTCTTTCAACTTGCTAAAAGAGTAGATTTCAAGCCTTATTACAATAAAAATGCGGTTATGATGTGCAGTGTTAGATGTAGTAGCTCACATGTGGTAATCATTTTGTAATATGTACAGTCATCAAATCATCCCATTTTACACCTTAAGTGTATATGCGTCCATTATATTTGAGTATGGCTGCATAAATATGATCACAAAATATGTTCCTGAATCAATGCGAGTGAATTCAGGAGGGTATGAGTTGGATTTGGCTCCAGAGTGAACTTGTGCAAATGGGAAATTTTCTTAACTTGTACCTGTACCTTTCTTTTGAAAACATATTCTACCTGTACGAGGTAATGTGATTCCACAGTAAGGTGGCATGTGTCACATTCCTGGAATCAAGTAAGCAAACATAATCTTCCACTATTCATATGATAAATTACAATGTCTGTCTTAATGAAAATTATATGAAAATCATGAGTTGTTTATTCCAATATGGTTAAAAAACAGAAACTGTATATTAAAAAAATCAGTGGTTCAATATATGAAAACCATCCTCAATATCTAATTGCATTATCTCAAGTATACTGAAAATAGAAATTTTCTTACAGAAAATAAATTCAAGTTCAACTATATGTAATTTCCAAGGTATATTATTTTTATTAAAATATTACCCAACACATTGAAATCAGAAAAGGATATTAGATATAAAAATTCATTTAATCACTCAAGGAAGGCATAAGTTGTGCCCCTAAAAATAATAGTAACTCTACTGTAGCAGAGGTAGATACAGCTGTTAGCTTGTGTTGCATAAAAGGCTTTATCAGAAGCCAAGTGTTCAGTGAAGTTTCCATGGGGCAGTTCTGCGTTGATCTCTGCTCTACGGATGGATTGTATCTGTGAGAGTCTTTGCCTTCATGTCACTTAAAATGAGTTTTCATTACTTTCTCCCCTTTCTGAGTCACCCTCTGCCACCAGTACCACCTCAAATATTGCACAAAATTTGACATCATACAGTCTCTTTCCCATGGGCTTAATCAACATGCTGAACTCGTTTAGTTTCCAGGTCACTCCTGGTCTCTGGTCTCTAATCATGTCCCTACTGGCTGGTCCAGGCCTTGGAATGACGTGACGCCTTAGGCCACTCAGTTAATATCTTATTCCAGGAGGCCACTCACTGCTCAGACCTGCCGAGAGACTCCATCCTCTTGTGACTGATAATTGTCCTTTCTGTTTCAAGGTTGGTAACAAATATAATGTTTTTTTCTATCATTTTGTCAGAATGTGAAGCCAGTATAATAACAACAGCTTCTATTTCACACATGAATGTGACGAAGTTGAGGAAAAATAGAGGAACCTTCTCATAAAAAGTTATCACATCAGACTGACACACAACCACCATGTAAGTAAACTCCCCATAGTTTGATGTGCCATTGTCTATAGATATGGAAAAATATTTCTCACATTTTATTCAGTTCTGATCACTGCCAAGTGCTCATTGTCATCATAGAGTATCAATTAGAATTGTGTACATTTGAAGGTTTCAATTTATCTCAACATAGTATTAAACCCCAGTTAATGAAAACAGTTAATTGTGAACCCTAAAGAAAATCTATTCAAAAGCTAGTAAATTATGTGTTATGTGATATCTAATTATGCAGTAATTTGATACATTTTGCATAAATTATGATAAGAAATATCATTTATGATGACACATCTACTTAAAGGCATAAAACCAGAAAGCAAGCTTAGAGCTAAATATTGATAATAAAGAAATTCAAGCCATATGATTTCTTGAGAACAAAATCAGATCTGTTGATGTACTGAAATCTATTCACTCATGTGTTTTAAGTCCACAAATATCTATGACCCAGCTATTTTTTGGCTGGTTCTGTCTGGTTTTTGAAAATACAACAATGAATAAATATTTTGTTATACTTGTGGTCATAGAAAATAAATAAAATCATTAGTATATTAAAAGTGGATGAACATAAAATACAGTGCTTTGGGTTGGGGAAAGTACCTTTAGGGAAACATTTCTATTATAAATGTCTTCCCTTCACTCCCAGGGTCAGCTGCATTATTCACAATAGGCAGGATACTGACACAACCTAAATGTCCTTTCATGACGAAAGGTTAAAAAAGATGTGTTACATACATACAATGAAAAAATTGTCCTTGAAAAACAACAAAATCTTCAGTTTTATTTTGATAAACATGACAATCACAATGTACCAATTCATCAATATTTTAAACAAATATGCATGTGTATACACACACCATCAAATGAAATGGCAGTAAAGTATATGATTTACCTTTTGCCACCATCAAATTGCACAGTACCCATACCTTTTACCTTAACATTTAATGTGTGCTGGAAGTACTTTAAAAGGTAACATATTTTTTGTTCATTTCACTCTACATATTCCAAAGCCAGCACAGAGTTCACCCAGGAGTTGGGCAAATCCTAGTCCCGCTATTGTTTAATTGCATGGAGTCATTGTATTTGTGTTCTCCTAGAATAAAATCCTTGATACACTGTAAGGAATAAATGAAATAATCCAGTCTCCTTACGTTTGATCTGACTTAACGCTCCAAAGCCCCCAATGAGGATCTGCCTCTATTTACTCCTTTTTTTTTTTTTTTTGGCAGATGAGGATCCTTAAAGTGGAGAAGTGAGTGCAAGGTTCCATTTCTTTGTCAGGTTACTGGCAGAGGCAATATCCCCAATGCCAGGACTTCTGTGTGACTTAAAATCACTGTGTGACACAATAGATCACAAACCCACTATGTGGGATAAACCTGTCCATAAGCCAGCATTTTCATTTTATGCAAGTGTAACAAATTTTGCACTTTGTTACTGACCTTTTACTATATGCACATAATATCTGTTCATTTTATCCTTCAACAAATGTTTATCACATTATGTTCCCTATATTATAGTAATATAACATGGAGCTTCAGACCTATGAAAGAATACATGTAGTTTATTCATCACCTCCAGTTGGGGGGTATATATTTTTGTCTCATTTACCATTACAGTATGAAACTGAGTAGCCCTCCATAGAAACTCCTAATATATGCAGTTTCATTTACGAATATAATAATATTTGAAACATTAACTATGGACACTTCAACCTTCTATTAATATATGAATATATTCAGAGAACACAGATAGTTCTGGCAAAGCATCAAGGAACATAAAGCAAGTTTTAAGTTTACAGCTTTAAAAAGAAATAGTACCGTGCAATGTAATGGAGAGGCGCTGCCTGATTACAGCAGATTCCCAGTGATTCACGTTTTATATTGCAATAATATTGCAAGAAACACATTTCCTTCATAAAAACATGCAATTTGCTGTCATTTTAAAAACAGCCAAATTGCATTGCACAAAAATGTTAATATACATTTTAGGATGAATTAGCCTTTCCTAAGTGTAATTCACTCCAAAGGCAATTTTATAGGTTTTTGTTCGTTGTTTTTTTGTGCAGTTGGGACATGGAGGCACCTTTGCCTGGTGGCTTATGTGTGCTTCATTTACATCAGAGACATTTGGGAACACACCATGGATGTGATGATCAACTACACAGGAGTCAGTGAATTTCTACTGGGCTTGTCTGAAGACCCGAGGATACAAACCCTACAGGGCATCCTGTTCCTCATGGTCTACTTGTCAGCCCTGTTAGGAAATGGACTCATCATCATGCTTATTACTTGGGATCCTCAGCTTGACACACCCATGTACTTCTTGCTGAAGAACCTCTCACTCATAGATCTCTGCTACATTTCTGTCACTGTCCCTAAATTTGCTCTCAACTCCCTGATGAACAGGAACACAATATCCTTCCTTGGGTGTTTTTTTCAGGTGCTGTTCTTTGCAGGTTTTGGTGCTGCTGAATTTGCCATCCTCACAGTGATGTCCTATGACCGCTTTGTGGCCATTTGCCACCCACTACACTATGAGACCATCATGAACAAGGGTGCCTGTGGGCGCATGGTGGTGGCTTCATATGTCAGTGCATTGGTTTATGGAGCCATGCACGCTTCAGCAACATTTTCAACAAATTTCAGTTCCAATAAAATCCACCATTTCTTCTGTGATATCCCTCAGATTATGGTGATCTCAGACCCCGAAATGAACATAGATGAAGCTTCAGTGACATTAATAGGTGTAATTATGACAATAATGTGTTTCACCTCCATTTCATATTCCTATGTCAACATCTTCTCTGCTGTCCTGAAGATCTCCTCTAAGAAGGGAAGGTCCAAAACCCTGTCCACATGCATCCCTCATCTGGTGGTTGTGTCCTTGTTTATTTTCACAGCTGCCTTGGCCTACTTGAAGCCGCCCTCCCCTTCTCAGACCATCCTGGACCTCCTTTTGTCTGTTTCTTATACTGTGTTGTCTCCAATCATGAACCCCATCATATACAGCCTGAGAAATAAGGATATGAAGGCAGCTCTGGAAAGAGTTCTGATTAAAGAAGTACAGAAAATATTTTAACTACATTTGAGAGTGTTGGGGAAATAATACATTTCTTAAATTCTAACAGAGGTGCATGCTTCATATTGGACATCAGTGAGGCAGAGAATTGTTTTAAAATTTATGTTGTTGCACAGTCATCACAGGATGATGATTCATAGTTGATCCTTGATTGATGAACTTTGATTGAAACTTGCAGTGTGAAAAAGTTGGGATAATGTTTCTGCAACAATATTCTAGGGACTTTGTTGTATCTCATTTTCAAGTTAGTCCCAATGTAGTGGGATAAGGAGGAGGGTGAGTTACTTGGCTTTAGCTTTTAAGAAGCAGGAGTCTATAGAAATCAGGGTCCTCTAAATATTCATGAACTCTTGAGCAAAGGGCATCTAGTTCAGTTCTGAATTGTTCCCGGAAGTCTCCATAAACAAATTCATTAGGGAAGCAGAACGATTCATGACAAAACCACAAGTGTCCAGATAAAGTGCTGCAGAAACATACTGCAATTGTGGAATGTTTAGGAATGACTTAACCAATGCACCTGCCTATTGTTTTGTTTTGTAGTTGATGATCCATCTTTGTCCATTTGAAATCATGTAAAATAAATACTGTTAAGAACAGGGTCCATTCTTTGACATGTATTTCACACATTTTCCCAGTTCCTAGTAGTACCTACAACAACATAGATACTCTCACAACTAGCCTCAGTAATTAAAGCCACATTTATAGCAATCTATGTTTTGTACACCATTGCAGTGAGGCCATGTCTGCAGCATCCTACAGGAATTCCCAACTCGTCTATTATGTAGTTGTTGATAGAGATCAGGTGGCTGCACAAACTGCAAGGGTGAACACTGGTTGAGCCTGGGAGCTGGAGATGCTCAGACGGCCCCACTGCCTTGGGCCAGGCCTTGCATCATTGTTCAGCTCTCCTGTCCTTCTGCACTGCTTACTAAATGAGTGAAGCTACCACTATGTGGAGAATAACACCTGCCTATAATTTTTCCTAAATCACTACATTTATTCCTGTTTATACAAAGTAGGATGTGAAAATACAACATTTTATACATACATTGTTTTGTGTAAAATGATTAATTTACCTTCCTTTAAATTGAGTTTAGCTCTGATCAACTTCTCTGGACAGACATTTATTTGTTTGTTTTTCTTTTCTGTGTGTGGTGCAGTACATACAATAAAATGTAGAATCTTGAGTAGATTTCAAGGAATTCTGACATATATATAGTCATGTCACCATCAGCTATATCAGGATGTCAAACAATCTCACTACTTTTCTTCCTTCCCATAGTTAAGCAATCCCTTAACCACCCACCCTTGTGGTAATGACCAGTGTCTTTTCTATGAACACAATGGACAAATATTTATAATCAAAACTATAATACATAACTCTCTGGTTGACATTGACAAGTATATTGGTGACCCTCCTTCAAAAGCCTCCTAGAAACAACCAAACACAGACCTATTTGACAGGTTAGGTGTGTATGTAACTGAAAGAAATGGCATCACTTTACCAAAGAGGTATCTGCCCTCTGTGCTCATTGCAGCACTATTTATAACAGGAAACGTTCAAACAACAAAAGTGTCCATNCAACATCTTTATGTGTTGATAGGTAATAACTCCATTCATGGGGTGAAGATATTATTATATGTGGAACTGTGTATATTTGAAACCAATATAAGATTGTATGTCAACAATAATTCAATTATAAAGTAAAAAGGAAAGAATATATATAGCCATAAAATCTCAGCATGTATAAATAAATATTTTTGTGAAATGAGTAACAGAAAAAATATAGTCACTGGAAGTACATTCTTGCTTCTCAGGGCTGGAAATAGGGGTGGAAGGTAAGTGAAGGTGGTCAAAGGTACCATCTTATAGTTATAAGAAGACTAAATTCTGAGTAGAGCTAATATACAACATGTAAATACAGTTAATAATTATGCATTGTATTCTTGAAACTTGCCTAAAGAGCAGATCTTAAATCTTCTCATTGCAATAAAAATGTAGTCATTATGTGAAGTGGTGGATGTGCCAATCATTTTGTAACATGTACACACATCAAATCATCCCATTTTATACCTTAAATATACGTATCAATTATATTTGAACAAGGCTGGATAAAAATGATCATAAAATATGTTACTGAAATAAAGAGAGTGAATCCAGGAATGTGCTGGCCTGTGTTTGATTTGTTTCCACAGCAAACTTGTGCAATTTGGCAAGTTTCTTAATATGCCCATTAAACCTCTGGTGAAAAGAGATTCTACTTCCATGAGTTACTGTGATTCCACAGTAAGGTGGTATGTGTCACATTCCCAGAATAAAATAAGCAAACATAATTTTTTAGTATTTATTTGGTAAATTAAAATGTCTATCATAATAAAAATTATGTGAACATCATGAGGTGTTGATTCCAACATGGTTAACTAATAAGAAACTATATCTTATAGGATCAACAGGAAAACATAAGATAACCATGCATGATTTCTAAATGCATTACATCTCCTTTAATATATTAAAAATGGAAATTTCCTTAAGGAAGATATATTCAAGCCCAAATATACTCCAAGGTATATTATTTTTATTAAACCATTACCTGAGACACACTGAAATTAGAAATGTTTATTACACATGAAACTTCAATTAATAAAACAAAGAAGGTATAAATCTGTCCTATCAAATGCAAGTATCCCCACAGTAGTAGAGGTAGATCTAGTCATTAGATTTCCTGCATAAAAACAGTTTTTAAATGACATGTGTTAGATGAAGTTGTTACCAGTGAAGATGCTGCTTTCCCAGAATCGTGTCTTGGAGGCTATGAAGAATGAAGTCAGCAGACAAGAGTATGGAGCAACCGGCAAAGTTTTTAATGAAAAGTGAAAAGGAAAGAGTAAAACTCCCACTGACCAGGAGGGCTCCAAGAGGAGATGCCATGAGAGCTGCATTGTCTGGGGTTTATCAGCACAAAAAGCATGCGAGTGGCTGGGAGTTATTGCTGGGACCTGTTGCTATGGACAAGCTCGGATGAAAGGGAAGAGAAAAAAACCCTTTTTCTCTGGCTAATTTTCCCAGATGTCCAGGGTGAGGCTTCTTGTTTACTGTGAAGCCTTGTCCGTAACTTTGCCTTACCAGAGCCTTGAGCTTTGTCTGCCTAAGTCCCACCTGCCTCAACCCCACCTCAGAAGAGGTACCCCTCATTGTCACTAGGCAGAAGGGAAAAGACCACTTAGGCTGCTTCCTAATGACAATGGGTGCCTCTTGGAGAACAGCAGTCTGGGTTCAGTCTCTGAGTGCCCTATCTAGTGACCCCTGGTAAATGTGGGATGACTGTCATGGGGGGTTCCATTTGCATCACCATCTGGAGCTTGATGGACTCTAAAAAAGAGGTGACAGATTTAATTAGAAGACTAAGGAGACATGGTCCAAATATGAGAGCAAATAATATCACTCCAGGGAGGGGAATGAAGGGTGCCAACTGGGGCCACACCCACCCATGGTGGATTTGACAATCTGGCCCAGCCAGGAGTCTTGCATTTCCCTTTCTGTGAGCTCATTAAAGAGATGGATGTGCTGCTTGATCCTCTCTAAATTCTCTTCTACCAGTCCTGAGGTGATAACATAAAAACATCAGGTCTCACTGGGCACAGCACAGGTGCCCCTGGCCTCAGTGGTGAGCATATCCAAGGCTTTCCTCATAAAAGAATCACCTGAGCTGAGGAGTCTGAGGCTTTTTCCTGGGTTTCTATGGCTCCTACTATCACTTTCCAGGTGCCCTACATCACTAGGGAGATGTTTCTAATGCTCCTTTCAAGCTCAGGAATCCCTATAAACCAAAACAGGCCATGGAATATTAAGTATCCTACACCATTCATCTCTAATATTGCACTATTTGTGGAGGGTCCACTGAAATCAGGGGTCTTGGGCACCTAGCTCCTAGGTTGGTGCCATAGTGACACATCCAGGAAGGGACCTGGGTCAGGTATAGTTGCAATTATTGTGTACCACCCTATACATCCCCTCAGCAGGGCCAAGCACACATTTGTTCCACAGAGAAAAATGGTCCAGTCCCAGCCAGTGAGACTCCAGGCGACCATGCTTGTAGCTGAGAGTATTTGTGTGAGGTTGGGAGACTACTATAGTTGGCCTAAATAGAGGAAACCTGTGGCCCTCAGATGTCAAAACTAGTGGGTTTTAAGCCCATGAAATAATCATGAGCACACAAGGGAGAGAAGTCGGTGAGGGATTCATTATGAGTATGAGGAATCTGACAGTGAAGGCTTCCAAATTGAGTTGAAAGACATGAAAATGAGGGTAAGTTTGGGAGTTGTCACAGGAGATGTTGACTACTGTCTTTGTTTTAGCTACAATGCCAAGAGTCTCTTGCCCCAGGGAATTATTGGCTATGGCCCAAATCTCATTATCATAATGACTGGCGGCACTGAATTTATTATTGCTCGACCATAACCAGAGGCCAGAGATCTGCCTTGCAAACATGGGTCTCGGATGATGGTGTAGGAAGGCTATAGACATCAAAGTCCTCTTCCTCTTCAGTGAAATCCCCCCAGATTTGTGGCTTCCACTAAGGAAGGTATGATTATACATAAAGGTGGTGTTATAGAAATAGAAGACCCATGCCCCCTGAGTCAGAGAAGCACAGACTGGTTTTGGCAGCAAGGTGCTAGACTTTGCCTACTTGCTTAGCTAGTAATGGAGTAACCCACTGTGGATCATGGGACCATGGGCCTCTACCTAGTCCATCGTTTTTGGTGGTGGTATAGTTTGTATAAGAAAAACCCCAATATTGTGTCATGGTATTAGCAATTGTTCCTAGTGATATTAGAATACTGAGGTGGTCTGCATTATCCACCAAATGATCTCAGCAGAGGCAGATCCAGTTATTGCTCTGGTTAGTTAGATTAGCAATTTTGGTAATATTGGAGTCAGACGATACACTGCTGCCATGGGAGGAGCCAGTAAGGATGGTGTCAATAACAGTAATAAGTTT